TGGGCTTCGCCAATCATTGTGAACTTCATGTCAAACTTCTTAGACAACGACCTAAAAATATTTCTAACCAGCTTCTCCTCTGTCATCTTCTCTCCCAAGGCACTAGATGTATTGGCAATATCAAGAATATTCATGTGAAAATCATGAATAGACTCGTCATCTTTCATTCTGAGATTCTCAAATTTGGTGGTGAGAAGTTGAAGTCTTGACGTCTTTACTTTTGATGTGCCTTCATGAGTGACTCTAAGGATTTCCCATGCATCTTTGGCCACGGTATAGGTATTTATCAGCCTGAAAATATTTGTATCAACTCTATTGAATAAGGCATTCAAGGTTTTAGAGTTTCCAAGAGTAAGATCATCTTCTTCATTAGACTAATCCTCTTCTGGCTTCAATTCAATTGTGTTCTTCCCATCTTTGCCCTTCACAACAGGGTGCTCCCAACCTTTGTTAACTGCTTTCCAAGTTTTACTATCCATAGATTTTAGAAAAGTCACCATATGTGCCTTTTAGTGATCATAGTTGGTGCCATCCAAAATAGGCGATTTGTTGACAAATCCTAGTTCCATGTCTCTAGTACCAGAAAGTATCTCACTGGATCTCATTCAAAACAGAACAAGGTGCCTGCTCTGATGCTAATTGAAATACTGGTACGTAATGGACAGATGTCAGATATGATGTCAGAACGTTGTAACAACATAATTAACATAAGAACAATTTAAGGAAAAACTGCAAGAATTTAATTAACACATAGTAGTTGTTAACCCAGTTCGGTGCAACGTTACCTACATATGAGGGCTACCAAGCCAGGAAGGAAATTCACTATGATAGTATTAGTTCAAAGCTAAACTCCGCTGTTTACAACTTCTCGCCTAATCACCACCACTGTATAACTTCTACATAGATACCCTCTAGATATGAGATCCCCCTCTCACTCCCTAATCAGTCATAATCCCAATGACAATACCTCAAGAAACCAAAAAGAAGAAGAACACTCTTTTAATTACAATACTTAGTTTTGCTTACAAGTTTCAACCAAGAACAATACACTTTTGCTTAAAAGCTCATGAGTGAACAATTGACAATTAACACAATCCTACTCAGGTGTTAAAAGACATAAGAGAGGAACACACAGAACAACACAAAAACCCTAGAAAAATTCTCACACAAAAATACGGCACACACACACTTTCTAGGGTTAAAAGCCTTTCTTTTAAATAGTCTTTGAGAAGCATGGGCTTATGCTTAAAAACTGTAACAGATCCAAAACAGCAGCGGTAAATATTATGCATAATCTTCTGCACAAAAATAGAAACTAAATGGAAAGTTTCCTAAAAAGGCTCCAAGATCCTTTTTATGAAAAACAAACACAATCTGTTAAAACAAAAATTCCCACAATATCCTCCCATAGAAAACACAAACGTGTTTATCAGAACACACTAAAAAAATCAGACTAAAAATAGCAAAATAGTCATGCCCTAACTTTCTGGTATAACATGTCTTGCCACATGTTACAACATCATGTTGATAATGATGTCTAACTGTCATGACAGAACATCTGGTTCAACATCTTGTTAAAAACATATTGTTACGAGAAAAGCAAATACATTGAAACAAAGCTTCATTATCTTATAGATCAAGTAAATCAAGACAAATTAGTAATGTCTATTATTCAACGCAAGATTAATTGGTTGATTTGTTCACCAAAACTAATAAAAGAGACTATTTTCTAATACTAAAGAGAGAAATTAAACTGTAACATTTGATTAGTTTAAAATTAAGAATGAGTGTTACATGTCGTAATTCTAAAACTAATTAAAACAAAAGAAATGTTAATGAGTCTTTCGAATATTGGTTAAGAGATTAAAAAGATAAGTTGAATATTTTTTAATAGATTATAAATACATTTTTTTCTTCTAAAAATATGTGTATTCAATGCATTAAAAATATAAATAATTTTTTTAAAAAGATTTTTGTGTGTATTCAATGAACTAAACATATAATATTACAAAAATTAATAAATTATTTGTAGTTTGTTAAGAATTCGTTAATACTAATTACCATTGTTAATTTAATTGCTTAGAGAGTAAATAGGAGTTAGAAAGAGGTTAATGAGCTATAAAAATTTTTACTACTATTAATTTATAGTTTGATGTTTTGATATCTTAATTTGTGTTTACTATTTAAAATATTTAAAATGAACTTTTATTTTAAGTGGTGACGAGATCGGATGTATGAACTCAACTCAAATTTGTTTATTAATTATCTTTACCTTATAAAAAGTAAAGTAAAAAATAAAAATTGTTTTAAAATTTGGGTTTTAATTTGGTGAAAATAAAAACCGTCTCTTATTTCCATACCCTATTAAATCTATTAAATTTCTTTATCTCTTCTTGCACCCGTTCTCTTATTATTCTCTCTTCTATATTTCTCGTGAACCAAACAGTGTAAAATACCATACCATGCAATGAAGTATGAATCGCGCGCGAAATATTTATTTCCCTTGTTCCTTGAAATCGAACCACGTACTTTCTTTCCTCTCATTTCGCAACCTTTCCCTCACTCATTCATCTGCAATTTCCTTCTCCTCTCCCATGGTTTCTCCCACCAACCCTATCCCCTTTCCACAAAATTCCCCAACAATTCCGTAATTCCATGTGTGTGGCATGAAATTTCTAGATCCATGCCACAGATAGCTTCGAAGCTTAATTTTACAAAATTTTCATCAAGATTATTGGAGGTTTAGGGAAAAGTGAAATAAGATCAAGGATCTACATGATCGATGTTATTGTTGTTCGTTGATTTTTGTATTCGGCGGATTCCATACCATATTTTCTGATGGAATGGAAATCCAGCTAGTTATGGGAATCATGATAGTGAAATTATTGAACAAGTTAGTTTCATCAAAGGTTTCTTAATTACTGGTACTTAGTTATATATGTCTATTATGTGGAGACCTAGATTGTGTATATGTTTTGGTACTATAGACAAACCTATGTCATGATTTTTTTATCTCTCTTTTGGGGAATGATGGCTTAGTTTGTACTTAGTGGTTCTTATAGCTCTTTTTGGATACAAATTATTAGCTCCGTAGCACCGACACCTTTAAAAAAAGTGTCTGAGTCAAAGTAGGTGTTTGAAACCGACACAGATACTTGTGATTATGTTTAATTTATATATATACTTTTTAAAATTATTAGTGGTGTTGACATATTAGTATCACTGTCTATTTCCGGTGTCTGAGCTTCATAGATCATTAGATTACCAGTTGTATTTTGTTAATAATATTTTGCTCTATTAAGAAAATACTATAGGTGAATCTATTTAGAAAACAGAGGTTAGGTTTAGATAAAGACATTATTTATGATAAAGCACTGTGAGGGGTTTGATTCATGGAACCAATTTCAGTTAATGAGATAAGACATGGATGTTGTTGCTTGTAGACACATAGTTTAAAGAAAGACATTGTTATTTAAGAATCGGGGGAAAGGAAAGCCAAAATTTTGCCTATTGTGTATGTTAGTTTCATGCTTGGAGCATCCAGAATTGATTTTGAACGTGTACAATTGATTTTTGACATGTTTGGTTGCTCTCGAGTATAATTGATTATGTTTTCGAGTATAATTGATTATGTTTTTTAGAATTGATTCTACTTAATGTTAGGAGTTTTTGCTTCTAAATGTGATTTTTTTTAATTGAGATATAATCTTTAACTCACTTTTGCAAGAACTTATCCAAACATAAATCACTTTACATTCAACCCACTTTTAGCCAAAATTGATTTTACAAAATTAATTCACTCAAAATAAATTTTCTTCACCGTAGAACCAAAGACACACCGAGAGTATCACTGATTGTACTGGAAAATCAAAATTACATTCAAGCATTAGATATGCTGAGTTCCACCTCTAGAGTAGATATGTGCATGAGTATGGTTTTAAGTGGCGGCTGTGGCTACGCTGCAAACTGTTATATTGTGGTAAAATGCGGGCAAATACGGCTGTTGCAGTCGGAACTGTGGTTGTTATGCTGTTGTGGAGACCTCTAAAATCATTATATTTCGACTACAATTGTAGTTGTGGGCTGAAATTTAAAACTATATGATGAGTACGTGATATCTCTGTATGAACATTTTCAGGTTTATTGGCATTATTAAGATGAAACAATTTGAGTTTCTCATAGAAAAGAATCTAATCTGAAAATTACTGTTGTTTCATGCACAGAAAATGCTCAGTTAGAAAATTTATTTTTATTCTAGGCTGATGACTGATTTTGATGGTCGTATTAACAAACTCTTAAAGGCATCTTATGTTTCTTGTAACAACTTTGCAGGTTTTCTTCAGATGATATTTGCTACCAGAGACATACTATCTTTCATTTTCACTTCTTTATAATAACAGGGTATGGTGGCTTGATTTGGTAAGAAAACACTTTAAGTTCATAATTCCTTTAAATATGTAAAATTTTATATGAAGAAAGAAAATAAATTTGAATTTTGCTATTAATGTATTTTCCTTTTATAAATTGAGGTAGAGAGAAATGTCAATACATTCTTGGACTTCGTGTTTCAACACTTTTGTTTGGTGTAATCCCACTCAATAGAGTATTGAAAAGAGAATGTCAGATTATAAATATTCCTAGTATTATAGATGTACTGTTTGTAAGCCTTAAGCCGTTTTCACTTTAGGTTAAATTTTCTTACAGTTTGTAGGATTAATTGATTTGGTTTCTGCTCATTCCTTTGAATATTCCGAGGATATGACAATTTACCACTAAATTTACCCAATTTGTTAAATGTTGCATTTGTCTGAATCCATGCTATGAAATGCAACCTTTCTAACAGGTGATGTTTTGTATAACCAGGAACTGTGCATCACAGATATTTGTTTACAAGTCCCTATTTGTCCTTATTCAGAATGGCCATCCTTTAGAAGCAGAACTACAGTTAGCTTCAGGTGTTGTTCCTGGTAAGCTCAGATGTGAGGTTAGAACTTGCAAATATGCAACCAAGGGCAAGTACTGGAGCTGGTTACCGTTTTAGTGCATCTAGTACGCCTAGCAATTCAAGTGGAGGATCTGATCCAGATGATAATGAGTCACAAGGCGAGGTTTTCATATGGGGAGAGGTTTTTGCAGACGGGGTTCCTTCCAAGACAGACGTGTTGATTCCTAAGCTGTTAGAGTCACATGTTGTTCTTGATGTTCGTAACATTGTATCTGGTGTGAGTCACCTTGCTATATTAAACAAGAAAGGGGAGGTTTTTACTTGGGGAGAAGAGTCTGGGGGTAGACTTGGTCATGGAATTGATAAAGGTTTTAGTAAGCCTCGTCTAGTTGAGAATCTTGAAGATGTTACTTTGGATATTGTTGCATGCGGAGAGTTCCATACATGTGCTGTGTCTAAATCTGCAGAATTTTTCACATGGGGTGATGGTACACATAATGTAGGACTTCTTGGACATGGTAATGAGGCTAGCCACTGGATACCAAAGAGTGTCGATGGCTTTTTGGATGGACTTCAAGTTGTATCTGTTGCATGTGGCACATGGCATTCAGCATTGGCAACCTCAAACGGAAAATTATTTACCTTTGGTGATGGAACATTTGGTGTTTTAGGCCATGGTGATCAAGAGAGTGTATCGTATCCAAAGGAAGTACAATTATTAGGTGGACTGAGGACTATTAAGGTTGCTTGTGGAGTATGGCATACTGCAGCTATCGTTGAGGTTATTTTTCAATCTGGTTCAAATGTTTCATCATGGAAACTCTTCACATGGGGTGATGGTGACAAACATTGTTTAGGCCATGGCAACAAGGAAACCTATCTCCAACCGAGACGTGTTTCGCCCCTTATTGAATATAATTTTCAGCAGATAGCATGTGGACACACCATGACTGTTGCCCTCACTACATCTGGTCATGTATTTACAATGGGAAGCACGGAAAATGGTCAATTAGGAAATCCAAATTCGGCTGGGAAAGTACCTACTTTAGTCCAAGATAAGTTACTTGGTGAATTTATTGAGGAAATATCATGTGGAGCTCATCATGTTGCTGTTTTGACATCAAGAAGTGAAGTATATACATGGGGAAAAGGTTCTAATGGAAGACTAGGACATGGTGACACAGATGAGAGAAAATCTCCTACATTTGTGGTAGCCTTGAAAGATAGGCATATAAAAAATATCTCGTGTGGTTCAAACTTTACAGCTTGTATATGTATTCGTAAATCTGTCACTGGAACTGACCAACCTGTTTGCTTTGGCTGTAAACAAGCATTTGGTTTAACACGAAAAAGACACAATTGTTATAATTGTGGATTGGTTTTCTGTCATACTTGTAGTTCTAAAAAGTCATTTAAAGCTGCATTGGCTCCAACACTCGAAAAGCCTTATCGTGTGTGTGATATTTGTTATACTAAGCTTAAAGTTGTTGACGCCAATGATCCTTCAAAGGTAAATGGAAAAGCTACTCCTTCTCACTGTCCCACAAATGGTAGGGAAAGATTAGACCAAGGTATTTTAAGGTCTACAAGAACTCTCTTTTCTTCTGTTACTGAACCAATGAAGTACCTTGAAATAAGGAATAATAAGCCTGGAACTGAATATGGTTCTACTTCTCTCATAAGAGCTTCTTTAGTTCCATCTCTTTTGCAATTGAAAGATATTGCTTTTCCAAGTATGCTGAGTTCTATTCAAAGTGTTTTGAAGCCTTCTACTCATCCTAGTTCATCACAAAGTTCTACATCCCCGTACACATGTAGATCAAGTTCTCCTCCACCGTATGTCAATCAAAGATTTTCTGGTGCTCTTATCAATAGTTTGAGCAGGACAAGTGATGTTCTTAACCAACAAATCTCAAATTTGCAGAGCCAAGTATGTTTTGTCAGTCCCATTCTAAAAATAGCATTGCGGAATTTTAACAAACTCCAACTGTTCGGCAATGCACAATTTTGTACTAAGTGTTGTCAAATAGTAGATATAGCAGAACAACATTCCTAAACTTGAGGAAAAAGCTATTTTCTGCAATCTGCGTTTTGACAACATTGGCAACCATGCCTTTTTGTTCATGAACTTGCGGAAGTACAGTTTTCACATTAACAAGTTAATACATATTTCTTTGTTTAGATTCGAGGATTGGAGGAGATAAGTGAGACGAAAGATGTGGAAATTCAGAAGCTTCAGAGAAAGACTACAGAAGTTATTGCCTGGGTTGCAGTGGAGTCTTCTTGTCATAGAGAAGCAAAAGAATTTATTGAATCTACTAAACATCAGGTATCTACAATATATATCCTTGGGACATAGGTCAAACATTGAATTAATCATAAGAAATTAATGGAAATGGAATCCAAATCATGTAGTAAGATATGGAGATTAGTTGTATTGAATTAAATATACAAAATAAACCTTTCTATATTTGTACAAGCCAATGACTAAAACATATAAATCACTAGTAGTAAGATCCTGTGCAAGAGCTCGGAATTACAGGAAACATTGTAGAAAAATTCTTCCACTTGTCATTAGGAGGAAGATTTTTCTTAGAATAGATAAAAGATAGTAGATAGATAGATAGATGACCTGCACCTTGCACTTCAAAAACAAGTTTAAAATTTTAGTACATTATTGACATGGCATCAAAGAATTTTTGACTAACTAGACACGAGTTTTGTCTTAGCTATTCCCAGCCCCACAATGTCTCAATGAACTAGTTCTAACTTCGTCTTCACATTTTTCCCAAATGCTTTTGAACAGGATAACAATAGAGATATAAATTTTTTGTCTACATCTTGTAGTTTTGCGTCTCACCCCCTTTAGTTTTGAAAAAACACAAACCTCCCTTTTCCTCATTCTGTCTAGGAAACTTTAGAGACTAGAAATATTTGAACAGACACTTATTTGTACAGAAAAATGTGAAATATTTGCCCACACCTTCTACATTCTTTTCAATACATTTTCTTTTATTGGGTGGAATGAAGCACAAATTCTCACATGAACTCCGGACACGACACTGACATGGATACATCGCTAGTTGGGATGTATGTATCTTTATCTTTTGTTTCACTTAAATTTTTTTCTTAAAAGAAATTAAGAATGAAAATTTTCTAGAGAAATTTGTTTTATTACAAAATATTTCTAAACTAAAAACCATACTAGTATTTCACCTTTAACTATCCATCTCCTACCAAAAAACTGAAAATAATGTAATCATGTTTAAAATCATTAATCATCATCCCTGGAAACTGTAGAAGATGAAGATGATGATAAGTGAAAATATGTGCATATGCAAGAATCTTTCAAATACTTCTTTATCGTACTATTATAATACTTTTAAAAGAGTTTTTGGTTCTAATTTTTCTAGAGGCGTTCATTATTACCGTAGACAAGTCTATCATAACACAAATAAAAAGAGTTTTTTTTAGGACACTTCTCTAAGCTGTGTGGTACGAGTGTCGGACACATACGAGTGTCTGATACCGGTACACGCCTAATCCGAGGAGTGCCTGACACCGGGACACACCTAATCTGAGGAGTGTCCATGCTTCATAGGTTTGAATTCATAAGTATTCCACTTTTAGTAACATATACGATGTCCACATAATTTAATGGGACCTATTTATAAAAAGTGGGACCAATTTGAATTCCAACTAATAAGAGAGAGTATTGTAAAGAGTGTGTTAAAGAATTTGTACAGTCATAAAACTCACTAGCCACATGAGACATAATTTATGAATGAATGAGCAATTATGGGGCAGCAAAAGTTGGCTGAGCATTGAGCCACTGGATTGCACTTTATATTGCTGGTCCAGATTTCTGTTAGAGATTGCCAGCTAGATTGTTGATCTTTTCTACTAACGACTGGAAAGTATTGTCTCTCATGTCAGACACATGGCTGGAAATGGATCCCTGTTGAAAGAATCTATAGAACTCTAGAAGGCCGAACTTATGCATAGACTGAAATAATGTGGCAGCATGTTTATGACTGCATGACATATAGGAATGACTGCTTCTCCTGTTAACAAACCGTCATGTTGCGGCCCAAATCACAGTTCGGGGCTATTATTTAAAACCATGTTAACGGGCACCAAGTGATGCTGTGTGTCACTAAGAAAAATAAGTAAGAGTTGTTAGTGTTCATTAAAAAATCAGAACGGCGCGAGTGTCATTCAAAGAGACTTTAGGGAAGATGCTCATATAGGCTAGTGCAATTTTCCCTTATATTTAATGTGATACATACAACTGATAAACTGAATGGAAAAAGAAGATAGCTTTTAAAAAGAAAAATATAACGAATAAGGATTTTTGGTTCTATGTCCTAAATAGCTAGACTTGTTTTTCCTTTTATTCAGTTGAAGGAAATTACTGAGAAGCTACCAGCAGAAATTCCAGAAAGTAATATCTTGAGTACTATCCAAACACGAGCTGAAGGTTTACTGAAAGAGTTTTTTGAATCGGAAATGTCAGAGTTGGAGTCCAAGCAACAAAGTGCACGTGACATATCTGCTGCAGTTAATGATGACACTTCTAAACTAGAAAATATCAGACTAGTCGAAAATGCTGACGTTAGAGAAGTTGACTCTTGTATAGATGAATCAAAGTTAGAGAGTTTGCAACAAAATGCACATGACATGTCCGCTGCAGATAACGACTCTTCTAAACTAGAAAATATCAGATTAGTAGAAAATTCCGACATTGTAGAAGTTGACTCTCGTCTAGATGAATCAAAGTTAGAGTGTTTGCAACAAAATGCACTTGATATATCTACCACACATAGTTGCAATTTTGAACTACAAGATCATAGAATAGAAGAAAATGCCAACGTTGTAGAAGTTGACTCTTGTCTAGATGAATCAGAGTTAGAGTCTTTGCAACAGAATGCACACGACGTATCTGCTGCAGATAATGACTCTTCTAAACTAGAAAATATCAGACTAGTAGAACATGCCGACGTTGTAGAAGTTGACTCTCGTCTAGATGAATCAAAGTTAGAGTGTTTGCAACAAAATGCACCTGATATATCTACCACACATAGTTGCAATTTTGAACTACAAGATCATAGAATAGAAGAAAATGCCAACGTTGTAGAAGTTGACTCTTGCCTAGATGAATCAGAGTTAGAGTCTTTGCAACAGAATGCACACGACGTATCTGCTGCAGATAATGACTCTTCTAAACTAGAAAATATCAGACTATTAGAACATGCCGACGTTGTAGAAGTTGATTCTTGTCCATATGATATAACTACCTCAGATAGTGACACTTCTAAACTACAAGAACACGTTCATGAAAAGATCGACAAGACTGCAAGACGTGATCAATCTGAGACTGGAACAAATGTTTGTCATGAAAGTAATGGATTGTCTATATCTAGTGTTGGAGAAGTGATGTCACCCCGAAGATCAGAAAATGGTTCAATATCAGGGGACAGTTCAAGAGATTTGAGTCTACAAGAAACACAAGTCTTTGAAAAATTCGAGTCTGGTGTTTACGTGTTACTCAGGCTACGGGCTGATGGAATAAAAAAATTTAAAAGAGTTAAATTCAGGTGAGTTGCATGTTTCAGCGTCTGTTTATGATTGATCCATTGACTTTTATTTTGTCTTTTTTACCCTTGCTATTTCTATTTCTCAAATATTTTTTATTCATTCAATGTTGCAGTAAGCGAAGGTTCACTGAAAGTCAAGCAGAAGAATGGTGGAGCCAAAACAAAGTTAGAGTTCTTAGGAAATACTGTCCAATTCATCAAAACCAAAAAGGATCATGTAAGATTACACCAAATGTTAAAGAAAATATTGAATCATCTCTTTCTTAAACTTAAACCTTTTCTTCCTATAGGCATCACCTTAGTTTGATGAAATGATTTCACTTAGAAGGATCATCAATCTAGTGGAAAGTAATCTAGCTTTAACTTAGGCATATTAATTGAGAACGTGTAGATATTTTACAACATAATAGGCATATAATCATGTATTCAATGAGAATAGGAATAATAGTCAGGTAGAAGAACAAGTTGATTTATACGTAAGAAAATTAGCATTTCATTTGGTTCTTTAACAATCAAAGAATACCACATATGGTGTGATACTTGTGCATTTGGAAAAATATGTGTTCACAAAAAATAGAGTATATATAACAATGTGTTGGTAACTTAAATATACTTCTGAAAGAATATTTACGGTAAACTCCCCATGTTTTAAGAGGTGGATGGAAAAACTAAATGTTCAAAACATGCAATCGAACACAACTCATCGACATGACAACACTAAATAATGATTTTTAAAAAATAAAAATAAAACATGGTGTTAAATATAAATCTACCTTGTTTTGAGAATTATATGCGTTAGCGATAAATAAATCGAGGAGAAACTGTCTATATATTATCTTATAAAAATCTTCAAAAGTTATTTTAAAAGAAAAAACATTTATTTTCATGTCCGAATTTATATCTCTAAACAAAACAAATAGTTTTCCATTAAAAGAGATTGTTTATTGCATCCATAATAGTGTTTACGTCTCAGCTGAAAAATTAATAATGTTTTTAAGATCTGAAAATGTATTTTCAAGTATACCATGTCATATTTGTTTTTTAAGTGAGTCACATTCTCATTTTATTAAAAAAATATTCAAAAATATACTTATAAAATAAATTCAGAAATATCTTGACTTTTCAAAATAAATTCGGAAATACCCTGCCGTATAAGAATAAAAATATAGCTCTTAAACATTGTCACATAAAATAGGAATGCAAATCATTATATGCAAAAACCAAAATCAAAACGAACCAACTTAAATTATTTCTATTATATCTAACTGATATATTACATTAAAAAAAAGTATATATAGCATTAGCAGCATGTAAAAATCTGAAAAAACGTATCAAAAAAGTAAAATAAAATTAAAATTAATAATTTAGATCATTACATCCCAAGCTAAATTGCAGAATGAGCAGAAAAAACATAGTTTTGAGAGTCATTAAAAATATCCCCCCATATAAAGTGTTTGAAATCTTTCAAAAGACCGACCTTTGCTGAACTTTTATATGCAGCAACACTCCCATCATAATCTTTAAGTTCATACTTAACTTCTCCATGCAAACGAAAAGCATCAGCATCTTGGGTTTTCCTTGGAACACAAAAATCAGTTCAACAATTATATTTGCTAAAATCTGTGTTTTAATTTTGGATTTTGCACATAATGATTTGCAATTCTGTTTTATGTTTTATATGTGACAATGGTTAAGAGGTACTTCCTCCATTCTCTTTTATAAATAAATTTTAATTTTTTTAAATTCATTCAATAAATGATGCATTTAGACTATATATATATATATATATATATATATATATATATATATATATATATATATATATATATATATATATATATATATATATATATATATATATATATATATATATATATATATATATATATATATATATATATAATAAATGCATTAATTATTTAATAAGTCTATTCTGAAATTATACTTTGGAACATTTTGTTTCCCGTAATATGAGAGTGTGGTTCACTTACGAAGACATGTGGTGTATATAGAGAGTATATTTCTGAATTTTTTAAAAGACAATTTTGAATTTCATTAGGGATGTGTATATTTTTGCCCTAGCTAGAAATTAATGCAAGGGAATTGTTTCTCCCACCCTAAATGGTGGAAAAACACCCTAAGAAAATTCGAAAATGCCAGTACGAATTCGAAAGTGCAGTTTTGGATGCATTCATTTCACACCAAATATATGCATAAATGAGTCACATATCTCCTTTTGTTTGAAAATAATTTGAAGATGCACCTCTATATTTATCCTATATACATCTTATGTATTCCAAACTGAGACACTCTCATTTTAACTTAAATTGATCCGGAGAAGCATCTTTGTAGCAGATTACGGCTATATACTTTCGTATTTACCCTAGACAATAAATTTTGATATTTTTTTAAAAATACACCAATGTAATAAACCATGTAATATAACTATACTATCATAATAATTTTTTTTATAAATTAAAACATACACTTATGAAATAAGATGAAAATGACATACAGAAACGAATCAATCCTAAATACATAACAATCAAAATAAATTAGAAACGATAATACCATTTGTTTTGGACTGGCCAAAAGGCTTAATTGATCAAGGGTCAATCCATGTCAAACCCATTTTACTCGACCCAATATATAAAAATAGTTCATATGTTATGAGAAAGTACATAATCTCTGATCTCCAATTTCAATATACTCATCTTAAATCTTTAATTGACTTAGACATTGGAGTGCTAACCATGCAGGTCCACCCTTTCTCGTCGTAATGGAGATCGAAGCCACCTTTCAAGATTCATAATTACCTAACTCTCTTCATATTTTGTTCCTTCGCAGAGGTAGAACATCCATTTCTGGTTCAGGAACAGAACATAGGTACCGTATGTGGGAATTGATTTCTGATTCCTACGATTTTCACGATTTCATACCTAGCTTCGAATTAACCAGTTCACAACCCTTTTAGGTCACCAAATTAGGAAGCAAATCAACTTCTGATTTTCATATTTTTGCCGAATCCATTTTCGCTTCTCAGTTCCATCAGTCACAATCCTCTCAAGTCTCGAAATCGAAAATGTTCAAAAGCAAACGCGGAGATTTGTCCCAATCGATTTGGTTAAATCTTCGTTTCCACCTCAATCTCTCTGTTAATATATATGTTGTAATATCCCATTTTCTTTAAATGCTCGTTTGGGTGTTAGTTGAGATCAACTAAGCTCCTATGTACTCTATCTTTTGTCATTTAGTTCAATTGGACCTCCTAAGTGCTCTAAATATTTATCAGTTGGGACCAATAGAGTAACTAGTGAACTTTGAAGAGATCAATTATTAATAAAAGAGACATACTAATATTAATAAGTGCAAGAGAGGACATTTTGGTAACAACAATAATTGGTCAATTGGTGTCAGATGAGAAAATATCAATTGGAGTATTTTGTATCATATTATATAATATTATATTATATATGTATTATATATTTATAAATAAGAAGGAAAGAAGAAGAAGTTAGTAAGAAGAAAGAAAAGAAAAGAGGAAAAGAGAAAGAGAAGAGGAAGGGGAAAGAGGAAAAGAAGAGCTCATGGAGGAAGAGAAGGAAATATATCATCATCAACTCCACCTTATTTTCTTCATCTCCAAGGTGAGTTCCATTAGGTAGTGTAACATTTAGAGGGGGGGGGGGAATATAAGAATATTGGTGGGTTAGGTTTTGTGTTGAAAATGCATTAAAGATTGTTTTCATGTGGTAATTGATTAATTGCATGCTTAATAATGTTATAACATGCTTAAATGAGTGTTTGGATGTGTTTAGGATATCTGGGTTGAGACTTTGGCCAAGGTTATCTCCACTTTCGCGTTCTGTAGATTCTGGATTCTGCTTGGATCGTCGAACGAGCTCGAGGCGAGCTATTTTCTGATAGCGTCGTCGGGCGAGCCTTGGTGAACATAAAGCGACCTACCTCACTACCTACTCGTCGAGCGACTATACTGTAAATTTGGTTCTGTTTGGGCCTCGCCTGGGGTTTGTCGGGAGAACCAAAGGCAAGCCAGCCTCGCTGGCTGCTCGCCGGGCGACCGTAGCAGGACTTAGGGAGATTGTTTTGTTACTTGATTGAATTGTTTCTCATGCATGCTTGGATATGTTATGAGTTACCTTATGCTAATTATTACGGGTTATATGCATGTTTCTTATATGTAAATGGTTGCGTGTGGTTCATTGTTAACATGAGTTTCGGTTTGATATTTGGTGAGGAACCTTTGTTCCAAAAGTCCTATTCATCGTGAGACCATGAATTTAACCGAGAATGCTTGGTAGAGGATAATGGTGACTATATGCCTTAAGTACATTTTTTATGTGGAGTATGTTTGACTTCTTTATATTTCTATATGTGTTGCATGTACGATATATGTATGGATTGAATGTTTCGATTGTTTTGATTGTGATATATCATGCCTAAAACAATATGAAGATGAGTGAGGAAACCCAGGCTCATAACTAGGCAAATGGATTAAAAAGATAACTAGGTTACAAGTATGATTTAGATAATACTAGTAGGTGACATTCATGCAATATGATACCTAGGTGTGTGTCATGGATGAATGGTTACCATAGTTGTGAGTGAGATGTAGTATATGGAACACATGATGTTGTTGTGTGATTAAGGTGAATGTGACCACCTTGTGATCATCAAATAGGATCATGTTGTATTATACTCATCGCGTAGTCGAAAATAACCCTCCTATTTGTGTCGTCCCAAGAGTTAATGCTTATGTAGAGCTTTTTTGAGATATACGCACCATTACTTTGACAGGTTAGAGCTCCATGCGGTCAAAGGCTTGAAATGGGTATTACACTGAGTCCCATAGGAAGCAACGATGGAAATGCTTGAAATGGGTATTACACTGAGTCCTGTAGGAAGCGATGATAGAGAGGCTTGAAATGGGTATTATGAAGGCGAGAAAAACACTTAGAGGGGGGTTGAATAAGAGTTTTAAGAAATATGACAATAAAAACAACTCAAGATTTTTATCCTGGTTCGTTGAACTCAACTACTCCAGTCCACCTTATTAAAGATGATTTGCCTTTCTCTACAAGGACTTAATCAACTATTGATCAACTGATTACAATAGAAAGCACTAAGAACAACTGTCTTAGTCTTCTCAAGAACTACTGACCACACCTTGGTCTTCTTAAGGAACTTCTTACAAATTAATGTAAACTAACAAGTGTTTGAATGCTTCTAATAAGCTGTATCACAAC